ATCTGGGCCATACTGACTATAATATTTTGGATTAGAATGAGTGTGGTCTTCAACTCAACCATGATATGACTATATAGTACTTTAATTATTAGCAGTTGGGGAGAGATGTATTACCTCAAACATGTAAATATATCCTGGAAAAATGTGGCACTAAATACACAGGAAATAAAAACATAAATGTATGAATTATCAAAAACAACAGTAAGTTGTAGTCAAGGACTCTTGCTCTGTTGTACCCTAGAAGAAAAGAAGTAATATATCTGAGCTCACAATGTTTTGGATAATTTGAATATTATACTATACGATGATTGGAATATATATTATCTATTGTTTGCAGTAGGTCTGTAGAAAAAGATCTCAAGTCCATTCTGTGATTATATTTTAGTCTGAAGAATTCCCTGTAGAATGCAGATGATCACTTACCCCACTCTAAAGAGGAATCAATGATTCCATTATTCTAGTCACACACTGCAAGAAATACACACCTTTTGATGCAGCAATTACCATAGTGCTTATGAAAAGGAGTGCTATAGGCAAAGTACAACATTACATCAATCTTCAGGCTGTTGCCAGTGCAAGAGTGCCAGTTTTGACTTAGTGACATTCATATTTACAGAATCCTCATATTTTTCTATAAGACCTTGACTACTGAATTTTCCATTTCTTTGTCAATTGATATATAAAAACATTATCATTTTTATCATTATTTCTCTTAACTTTTTTTAACATAACAATTAAGTTGGAGGATGGTTAGGAGAATTAAAGTCTCATTATTTACACACATACATATCCACACACAATCCCTGTGCTCAAGAAACAGAAACATGTTCTCCAATAATTTGGCAAAGTTATTAATATTTGGCTCGTTGGCAAAACAACACAAGGGCTGACTAGCTGACTTTAGCTTCAGCTGGAGATAGAATCACATCCTGTTACCATTATATGATGATTCATTAACCACTATTGGATGCAAGTGTGAACTGAATAGCTAAAAATCGAACAATTTCCTTCTCAATTCTCCATTTTTTAATTGAATGAAACTATCCTTATATATGCTATGATATTCGATAGTTATTACCACATTTCATTCTATATTGCTATTATCACCCATCCCTAAAAGAGTAAGTGCAAGAAATATGCTATCAAATAGTTTGAAACCAACAATTAAATAAACACAAGGAATAAAAAGATGATCCAAAGGTAAATAAAATCACATCTTTTGACATAAAGGCTGTGCTTTCTTAATCATGCTAGAAGCAGGGAACGTTGTTATTCAGTGCCGAGGCTATACATGACCAAAGATTTTTTAAAATTTTTCTTCACATATTCCAGATAAGCCTTGTGTGCATGTGCTCACCCAGTTTAGAACTAACTCTTCAAAACTATATTTCAGGCAATGACTATGTCTGTTCATTTCTTATACTTCTCTGACCCTTCTGCTTATGCCCTTATAGATACATAAAGTCTTAACAAAGACTTTAAGGGCTCATTTAACAAAACTCTTTTATTATATGGAGTAAGCAAAGAAAAAGGGTTAAAGTATGCTTCTTCGGAATTTCCATTCCTTTGGAATTTTTCTCCGTCTGGACTTCCTCAAGATCAACATTATTTATGACGAACACCAGTGCTCTGGGGCTAGAAAAGAAAACTAGTACAATTACTAGGAAGGGAAACCTGAATCTGAATACTTCGTTGGTATTTTTTGCTGAGTGGGCTTTTCTGATACTCAGCTTTTATTTTCAGGAATTCTGGTTATTTTAACAAAAATATCATCTCAGGCAGTATTGTGAACAAGCTTGCCATTACTGTTTGAAGCAGGCATTTAACAGGATAAATTGGATAAAGGTGTTACTTTCTACCAGTTCTGACTAGCTAGCTAATTTTTTTTAAGGAAAAAATATACTTCAGAAAATTTAGTGGTTTATCAGATTGATTTCTTGTGCCAAAGATACCAGTAGAATAAAAGCATAAACAAGATTATGGTTACTGTACTTTCATATAGAAAAGAAAATCTCTGCTGACTTCTTCTGGAAGACAGTAAGTCAACGCATAATGTTAATAATGTTAAATTTGTGACTTCATTCTAGATTATTTTAGATCTCAGGAAAAATGTGAGAGATGTGCCTCTGTAAATTTAAGGAAGTTCCCTCCTGGGATAGACAAATTGCAAGCTCTTGCCTTGAAAAATGTAATAGGAGCCATTTAGGCTAAGGCCAGTTTTCTGTTTAGTGCAAAAATTCACAATAAAACAGCTCCCTAGATGTTTTAGAAAACATAACACTTTTTTTTTATATCTGAAGTACGTTATTTTTTTCAACAGCTATAGTATGTTATCTATAACAAGATTGTTTTCATTTCTCTTCTGACAATTATAACCTTATTCTAGACCCCATTGATAATCATTGTTCTCTTAATTTCTAGTCACAATAATCTCCACATGAAAAGATACATTGGAAAAATTAAAGAAAACCTATCCTCTGACATTTTTTACTTATCCTGTGTGCTATTAAAAGAAAGGATGGTGAAACATTTTATTGAGGAATTTAATAAAAATCTAAGGATTTTAGAAAAATCTAAGTAACATGCCATTTGGGGAGTTTTAACTTCAAGATCAAATTGTTTGATACCAATATCGCATGAAACAATTTAATTAATAACAATTTAAAACTGCAGAGATTTTACACTCAAGCACACATATTCTTGAATGGTAATCATTCTGGATTAATATGTAAAAGCATGAATTACAAAAAGATCATTCTTAAAATAACACTTTCCTGCTTGTTCAACATTTGTTCTAGTTAGATTTTTATTTTCCCATGTAGTGATATGGATCAGAATTTCGATGGTAATTTTTTAGCTAAAAATAATCTTCACAATAAAGGGTATGACTTACTTTACACTGTTATTAGAACGTGTATGAATGTACATGTATATATATGCAAGTATATGCAATTTCCTTTCTTCCCATAATCTCTGCACATGCCTGCAAAAGCAGAAGTAGGGACTAGAATATTCTGCTGTACAAATTCTGTATGTAGTGTTAGCTCCTATCCTAATTATTCTCAATAATTTTCATTTTCCATAGTAGGCTAAAAGGACAAGCATCTTTAAACGTCTATAAAAATAGTAGTTCTCACTGTTGTATCACTTTCTTTTTTTCTGCATCATTTGGGATTACGAAGCCTAATTTTAAAAGGATTAAAAGGGAAACAACCTTCTCTTCCTTATTAGTAGCACATTGTTTTCTATTATGTCCTGCACTTGTAAAATAGATTACGAAAAATGTTACATGCAGAATAAGGGAAGACATCATATAAAATAGAGCAAGCATTAAAGCACAAATAGGACACGATTGGTTCTTCTTATATGTGGCAAATAGCTCAAAAGGAATAAAGACAACTACATTTGGAACACTCTTATGCATGTTATTGCAATGGGCCTTAGTTTGAAGTTTCCATTTAATAGTAATATTGCTTCATGAGACATAAACAAGTTCAGTGAAATTTAAATTCCAAGATAGTGTGCATCAAATTGCTACCTTAATATCCTACTCCTAAGATTAACAAAAAGTAAAATGTTAATGGTTTCTATGCATGTTTATTAATTTTTATGCCAGTGCTCTGCACATCTTGTAGAGGGGAAAGTGCCAGATAGCTTAAAAATAACAGTGAGCCACAAAGGAATAGCTGTTGTGCTAATCAACTATTTGATATTTTCTGATGGCAGCAGTGGGTTCATTTTTTTCAAGATGCCAGTGAGCACTCAAGACTGTTTGATAGGCTAATGTGTTGTGCCTGCTTTCCACTGATTTACATGACCGTCCAAAAACATCTATGACCATGAATTCCATAATATACATACAGTATTTACCTGGTGATAATTTCCGGTGAATTCATTGTGAGTCTATTTAACTTTATTGCCAGGTAAATGCATATGTCAGAAGCCAATCTTATCTATATATCTAAACATACACAATTCACTAAAAATGTCATATACAGAATATTAGAACAAAAAATAGAGCCATACTTCAGCTTGAATTGACAAATTGGCAATGATATATCTGGTTAGTTTCTGACATAACACTTTAAACAGGAGTGAATATAGTGTATAGTGAGGTTATAGCTGTAGGCTCTTTGGGCTGTAGACCAAAAATGATGATATAACAAGAGCATTTATTTTCTATGAAGAAAAAATCCATCATTATCCTGAATGGCTGATGTTGAGGCCAACAGGCATTTTGGCACCAGGTTTCCTATTCCATTTGACTTAAAATGTATTGGCATGTTGCAAAATGAAATGCGAACCTGGCATAACATTTATTTCCAAGTATGTTTCAGAGTCCCATAAGATTTCCAAAGGAATAAAAAACTGGGTAACTGCAAGCCAGTGCTTTGTTTGGAAGTGTTCCCAGATACACTGAAAAAGGAAAGTGTAAACATGAGGAAGAGGGACTGCTCTACTACTAGTTGCAAAGCATTTTAGGGAATCAGTGCTCTGCAAGTGTTCTTGTCAGCCATTTTGTGAACAGGCAAACCGTCCAACTATTATTTGGAGAGCACCAGAACATGTTCCCAAAATTTCACCCCAGCTCCAAGAGATATGGTACTCCTGTTTTAACATATACTGTTTACAATATAATCTTAAATCTATCCAAGGCAGATTTGTTATATACTTTTCCTCTCTTCCATCAAATCTGAAAAGGCATTTCTGACATCTGACAGCCTCTAATAGAAGACAGGAGAGGGAAAGGGAAAACCAAATGCACATTAGAGTGTAGCTTTAATCACTGTATACGTTATATATTTTCATTATTAAGATCCAGGCCAATCCACTTTTTGCTCGGAGGTGCAATACAGCGGTTCCTCAGCTATCATAAAAGTGCAACAACAGGTGTTTGTTACAGCCAGAGAGAAATAAAGAATCAACACCAGATTCGGTGACAGGTGCAGCGGAAAAAAATAATAATGGAGGAAACTGTCTGAAGAGTTTGAGCTTCCGCGACAGGGACAACCTCAGAGACTTTACTGCGATGGCGCGCCAATCCCCGGCGCCTCCTTAAATCTCAGCCCAGCCTCTCGCCGCTTCCCCGCCCCCGGCCCTCCTTCCCCGCCAATTCGCCAAAGTCCTAGAATAAAGTTTGCTGTTAGCGGGGCGGGTAAGCTTTTAGCAAAGAAAGGAAGCGAGCCCAGCGGCGACGGTGGTGGTTGTAGGGCACGCTTGTTCTTTCTCGACCATGGCCTCGTCCGAACTGGCCCAAAAGCTGCAGAGACGACTGCTTCGAGATGGCAGTACCTCGGAGGCGCCCCCTGCAGAAGAGGATGACAGCCTCGCCCTTGAGCCGGCCGGCTCCGAAATGAGCCCCGAGGACCCGGGCGACGACCCGGCCGAGGACCTCAGCGCGCTGAATGCCGCCGCTGACCCGGAGCTGAGCGCCAAGCTGACTCGCAGGCAGGACATCAACGCGGGCGCGACACAGCCCCGCCTCGCCCAGGTCTTCAATCCCTACACGGAGTTTAAAGAGTTCACTCGCCGGCAGATCAAGGATATGGAGCGCTTATTTAAACTGTAAGCATCGTCTACTTAGCCCTCACTATCCCTTTACAGTTCCTCTTTGTAATTCTCGATCTTGGCGATCTTGAAACTCTTGAGTAGTTTTCTGTAGTATTTATTTCCAAATCCTTCACGGGATTCGAGCCTCCACCTGTGTTTAAAACAAACCACCCGTGCAGCTCGGTTCCAACAGTGGTTTCTTAGTATCGATGAAGCCTGCGGAATCGTTGAAATTTAAAGTTTCCAACCTTTTATGCGGAAGTTCAAGATTTCTGATATGACTCAGTCATGAGGTAGTAGAGAAAGGACTTGGAAAAAGTTGCTTATAACTGTACCTGCACTGACTGAGGTCAATGTTTAATGAGAGTATGATTGACTCCAGAACACCAGAGTGCATAATACCTATATGCTAGATAAGTGCTTCCCAGATAAAGTTTTGTTAATTGTAGTAGTAAGGTTTACTTTTGAGTAAACTTTTACAGAACTGTCCTGTGTATCACATTTTCCTCAACTGCTCTGATAAATAGAAAGGTAATGAGGAAAGTCATAATAAAGCTGGCTAGATTCAATGGAATTTAAATTAGCATGCACAGGATTGCAGACTAAAATTTAGAGCAAATTCTGCAGTAGCACTTTTCAAAATGTTGGTGTGCTGTTTGCTTTTGTACTTCTGTGTTTATCATTTTAAAAAGATAAACTTCACCAATCTTTTCCCTCATGTGTATTAGTTAATCTTCAAATTTCCAGTTCCTTCTTTTGCTGTTCTTGCAAAATGGAAACCTGTAGTGTTTCTTTGTGCCAATTCTCAAAGAAGAAGTGTATTGAAGTGGGAAAAAAAACCATTCATTTGCTAAATTAAAAAGATCCTCATACCACAGAACTGGAAGGGTCAAGTTAAGTCTCCCTATTGTTAGTCTTGGTATCTTATCTCTGTGGTCAGGATTGGAGCAGCAGTTTATATTTGGCCATAAAAATCACACTGCAACAAAAAACGTGACCTTCCCCACCCCTGCAAAGTCAACCATGGTTATATTTAGCTTGTGCTTTTAAGTAATAAAAGATGTACTATTTGTCACTTGTTCCAATTATGTTACTAAAAGAGGAATTGAAAAAGACTTTGGCCTGATTTGCTGTACATTTTTGATTGCTATTCCAACTTATTAACTATCTAGTCATATAGCTGCTATTAATAAAGCAAGTCCTAGTGTTCAATATATGTTTAATGGGATAATAAACTAAATTAATAGTATAGTCTGTGCTCAATTGAATTTAATGGGATTGGCTTCTGAATCCTGGGCCTTTTCATCCTTGCTCCTAACTAACACAGTCATGCCTTGATGACATCTTTTTTTTAATGACATCCCTGGGATGTCTTCATCCCATCCCCACCCCATGAGTGAGACAAATTTAAATCATTGTGAGCATCTAGTGGAAGCTGCAAGATGTTTGAAATCTGTTTTACTTTGCCACCCACTATGTCAGAGATAGAATCACATGACCAGTAGTAAGTGGGGTTAGAGAGGTGTTTACTGCCTGTTTCAAGCTATTTTTTCCTTCCATTTCCCAATCTACTTCTCTGCTGTCAATCTGCTGGACATGATGATGCATAGAATATAAGGAAAAATAACTTCTTGCCAGGGCTTATAATGGTGTCAGGGTGAAGTGGCATACACAGGCTGAAATAGCATAATATACAGAAATGTTGATATGCTTCTCTCTCATTGCTTCCTGATGAGGAAACTGTAAGTTGCTATTGGTCAACTGTATAAAGAAAGGAAAGAGAAATTTTAAGTGCCTGTGACTTAACTATTTTCATGATTGTTTCTAAAAACTTTATTCAGAATGGGATATAGGTGGAGAGGCACAGGAAGAAGACAGACCCTCCCCATTCCTCTTGCAGCACTATGATTGGTGGATATTTTTCCTATAGCCTGGTGATAGGCAGAAGAGAGAAAACAGCAAACTTGGAGGAATGAACCTGTCATTTTGCTGATCATGAATGCACAAAATTAGGATAGCAACTCAGAACAGAGGTAGTAATAGCAGGATATGGATCAGCAATGAGGGTGGCAGATTTCAGGTTTTGAAACTGAGTAATTCTTTTGCTGACTCAAATATAGTTGGCTAGATTTTAGTAGCAAGAAAAGGATTTATGATATCTTGATTGTCATACTGGAATTGGGAAAGCCCTGGTTCAGATACCTACTTAGTCACTGAATTACTTTGGGCCGCTCCCTGACTGAGCATTCACATTGTGGTATGCCATTGGCTTGTTGAATAAATGATTTACAGATCATACAGTAGTGACTGAATTCAGATTATATACTAAACTGTTATTAGTTACTAAGATAAACCTGAACATAGCAGTTTTACATGTTAAATTAAACTATTATGTGTCCTGGTTACTGGTGGTTTATCATGACATGTTTACCATGATGTGTTAACCCAGTCACATTTATTTATTTATTTACCAAAAATTTATATGCCACCCTTCTCCCCAAGGACTCAGGGCGGCGAACACAAGTTAAAAACATACAATAATAAAAAATAAGGTGATTAAAACCCAGATTAAAAACCACAACAATCAGAATAATAATGATCACTATCACTTAGCCTGTGTAGGCGAGAGATAGTACAGTATTTATTTATTTGACTTATATGGCCATCCAATTCATAAGTGTGTGACCGTTTTTGAATTTTATGTTAACATTATCAAAATTTGCTTAATGCAGTTGCAGGAACAATGATTCCCAGAAGAGAAAAATGAAACAACTTATGAGGTTGAAGAATCAATGGCTTTACAACATGTGGTATGACAGCTGCAATAATACAGAGATTCCTCTCTGACATGTATCTTACAGGAGATGTTTCTGCTGAGTTAGAAGTTAAATTCACACCTTTGAGATAGACATCTAGACTCATAAAGCACATTCCTTGCTTAAGGAAGGAAAATTGTGCAATCTGTGCTACTCATGGAAAAAAAAATCTTGTCTGCTCAGCTCTCCTAGAGAAACTGAAACTGATGTTTTTTTCCCCTACCTTCCCCTTCCAATCCTTCAGCAGCCAATACAATTCTTTGTAGTGGTTAAAAATGCTTTCATATGTAGCCATGCTAACTGAAGTTTCTGATTGAGAATATGATATCAACAAGATTCAAGTTATCCTCAATTTACAACAGTTCGTTTAGTGACTGTTCAAAGTTACAATGGCACTAAAAATGTGACTTATGACCATTTTTCACCGTTACACCTTTGCAGCATCCCCATGATCATGTGATCAAAATTCAGATGCTTGGCAACTGGTTCATATTTATGACTGTTGCTGTGTCTCACGGCCATGTGTTTACTTTTTGCAACCTTCTCACAAGCGAAGTCAGGCGGGAAGCTAGGTTAATTTAACAACTGGGTTACTAACTTATCAACTGCAGTGATTCACTTAATAATTGTGGCAAGAAAAGTCATAAAATGGGACAAAACTCACTTAACAAATGTCTCACTTAACAACATAGGTTTTGGGCTCAATTGGGGTTGTAAATTGAGGACTACCTGTACTTGTAGCTGTAGACCACAAATGGGCTGTGGACAAGTGCTCAACGATGTTTTTGTTTTTTTCTTTCTAGTGTACACTGTTTTGTGAAAGTCACCTTAAAAGGCCTTGGTTTCAGTGCCTTTATTTCACTCAGATATGTAAATAGATGCTAATATGTAAATAGTGAATAGATAATAAGATAGCATACTTTACATCAAATTCTCAGAAACGAAACTCAAAAACAAAACCTACCTGGATTTTCTGGAATGCATTTAGTAGATAATGTAACAGAATCTTTAAAAAGTGCAAAATCCATTCTCCAAGTCAGCTTATACTCTGTGCAATTCAGGTGGAGTGTTTAGTCTTCTGAATTAAATACATCTTTTTTGTAATGATCCTGCTCTGCTTTCATCTTTCCAGTCTGTTAAACATTCGTGTTATTTACTTACCTGTGATAAGAAAATTTCACTCTTGGTTGACCAAGAAGAGAAGTTTATATGAAAAGAAAAAAGTCTGTTATTTTTTCTTTCCAATTATTGAATGGATATGTTTATGCATATGTTTCTTAAAACATATTTAAAAGTAAAATAAAACAATAAAATCACTACAGGTAGTCATCAAAGTTACAATAGCTTTGGAAAAGTTTTTTTTATAGCCTCTAAAGCACTTCCAGCTATTGTAAAATGTTGTGCCATGTATCCACGATCCCATGATTATAGTTTGGGTTTTTTGGCAAACTGTTTGCACTTATGACCAGTTGCCAAGCCCCTCTATGATCGGGTGATCGCTATTTGCAATCTTTTTATAGAATCATAGGGCTGGAAGGGACCTTGGAGGTCTTCTAGTCCAACCCTCTGCCCAAGGCAGGAATTTTTATACCATCCCCGATAAATGGATGTCGTATCTTTTCTTGAAAACCTTGAAAAGCATCACAACTCCTGGAGGCAAGCTTTTCCATTGATTAATCATTCTTACTGCTAGGAAATTCTTTCTTATTTCCTGGTTGAATTTCCCTCTGACAAGTTTCCATCCATTGCTTCTTATCCTGCTCGCTGGTGCTATGGAGAATAAATCAACACCCTCTTCCTGTGACAGCCCTTCAAATATTGTAAGACTGATATAATTCTTCTCGGAGCCTTTTCTTCATTAGGCTAAACATACCTAGTTCCCTTAGCAGTTCATTGTATGATTTAGCCTCCAGATCCCTTATCATTTTTGCTGTTCTACTCTGCACTCTTTCTAGGGTGTGAGCATCGTTTTAGAATTGTGGTAACCAAAACTAGATGCAATATTCCAAGTGTGGTCTCACCAGTGCAGAACTATTACTTATCATGATCTTGATGCTATTTCTCTGTTGATGCAACCTAGAACTAGCTTTTTTGGCAGCTGCAGCATGCTTCTGACCAGTGGTGAAATCCTCCAAGGTTTGTCACTGATTCGCTGCATGCGCAATGTGCGCCAAATGTCCTGTGCATGCACATGTGCAA